TGGATAAAAATGCCAAATCCAGTCTAAACATCTGGCTGACTATGCAACCAACCATAATAAAGTATTAAACAATGGTAACAATACTATCATCCTAGGATGTATGAGTGAGAAGGGTCCTCGTAGGTCATCTAGTTCAACCCAACCAGGACTCCATGAAGCTCTCCCCAACAGGTGGCCACCCAGCCCCTCTTGAAAACCTCTGGCAATGGGGAATTCACCACTCTTCTAAGCAAACTGTTGCACTGCCTAACTAGCTTCCTCCTAACATTCAGCATAAATGTATTTTTTTTCACTTCAATTTACTGCTCTTGGTCTCGTCCCTGGTTTCAACAGAGAACAGATATGCCTCCTTTTGCGCATGACAGCCTTTAATATATTTGTAAACCACTCTCATATCTCCCCTTGGGCTTCTCCTTTAGAAGTTGACTATGCCTCACTCCCATAACTGCTCTTCATGGGGCTTGCTTTCCAGACATCTTATCATCCAAGTGGCCTCCTTCTGAATATGCTCCACTTAACCATATCCCTTTTAAAGTACAGTACCAGATCTTGACACAGAACTCCAAATGCAATCTAAGCAGCAGAGAGTACAATGGAACTATTATTTCCTATGGTTTGGGTGCAGTGCATTCGTTTTTTTAACTGCTGCATCAAGCTACAGTACTTGCTCGTGTTCAAATGTTGGTTTACTATTATACCTACATTCTTCTTATGTGCACTGCTGTCAACTTGGGTTTTCCCAGTCCTGTATCTGTGCATTCAGTTTTCTCTACTCTGCTTGTCACAGTTGAACATCATTCTGTCTGGTCAGTCCCTTGAGGTCACTTTTGTGATTTTGTACTCTAAGTTATTAGCCATATTGTTTTAGCTTGGTGTCATTTGCAAACTTGACAAGCATCCTTTCCATCCCATTCTTTAGATCATTTACCAAGTTTTTGAATAGAACTGAGCTGATGACAGGGCTCTGAGGATCCCACTTAATACTTCTCTTCAGAATGAATAATTCTGGATCAAACAGAATCATTTACAAGCACTACTTGGGTATGGCTGTCAATCAGTTAAACCTCAATGCTATGTACAAAGGCTATTTGTGTGGAACAGAATTCTACAGAGATTCCATCTCTCTAGTATTTTATTCCACACAAATAGCTTCCCATCTCTACTGTTCACTAAACTGATAGATACCTCTGATTTCTACTCTATACATTGCTGCAGATAGTCTGATGCTATTTTCCTAGATATGGACTATAGCTCCCAGAATTCCCAACCAATGGCCATATATGTTGGGAATTCTCAACATTCCAGTCCCAATATATCAGGAGGGCATTAGGAAAGACTCAGGGAGTAGAAGATAAGCTTAATGTTTTTTTCTCCCATCTACTGATTTTCTCTTAAAAAATGCAATCCTTTACATTTATAAGAATGTTCTTTCCAACTGGTCTCTGAAACCTGGACAGATAACTTGTTGTATAGGATACAGATGATGGATAGTCTAGATATTCATGAGATAGAATTGTTAGATACAAGAGATGGTAACCCTTCCCATCACCAATTTTCCCTTAAGAGTTTGGCCATTATCTCAGCAAATACACTAGGAACAAGTTCTTGCTGAAATAAGATACAGCTCTATGTTCCAGGAGCCCTGGGTGGAACATCCTGGCGTGGTTTTATAAGTCTTTCATCACCCTTTATCTTCCAATGGGAAATGTGCAAGATGGTCAAAAGTGAGAGACATACATCCTGTAAGGTAATCCAGCTGGGGCACCTAAAAGCCCAGCCAAGAAACTGATAGCCTTCTTGCACTTTCCCCCAAAGGAGGAATATGGAGGAGGTTCAGGTCAGTATCAGGCAGATAAATGCGCCAGTTGTGAAAACTGTTTGTGCTGCTATCACCAAAGATGGGGACTTACTCAAGGTCCTGCTCATTGACCGGGATGGTAGGCCAGATTAGATTTATAGGCTGCAGCTTCACTATTTTTCAGAAGCAGCTAAGAGTTACAGTCTGGTTCAACAGAGGTTCCCACATATATCCTTTAATTTGCCCTAGTCAGGAGGAAAAGGACACACAAACCAGAAAAGCCAACAAGAGGATAAACTTCATCATTCACCAGTAAAATAACATTTGTATATTCAGTGTCTGATACCTTACCTGAGTATAGACTAATGGTACACTGATCCAGTCATAGTGGTAAAGCATGCTGCAATTGCCACGAAAGTGATTCAGTTCCTGGAGGGAGAATACAATCACCACTACTTGTGTGAGGCATGGAAAACTTCTACAACTACATATGACTTTCCACTATGCCTTCAGGCCCATGAATAGCTTTGATCAAATCAATAAGTGACTTTTGCTGGAACAAGGCAGAGAAACATGATCCTGCTGATTCTCCTGGACTTCTCAATGGCTTTTGATACAATTGACCATATATCTTCCAACTTGGAGGCATGGTGTTTCAGTAGTTCCACCACCTAGCTCTGGAAAGTAGTGCTAAGGTACTGTTGAGTAGTCTCATGGTAATTACACTGTAAGCTCCCTAAAAGTCACATTTCCTTTCCCACACTCTTCAACATCTATATGGTATGAAGCTTTTAGGAGAAATTGTGTGAAGATTAATGTGTAATCTGTAGAAAACAGCTAATTCTACTCCTCATTTACATGAGAGTCAGAGGAAGCAATGGAAGTACTGAACAGGTGTTTGAGGGCACTAACTGAGTAGATAAGAACTAAAAAGTCAAAACTTAATCCTGAGAAGATGCAAGTGCTACTACTAGTAGGTGGTTCTTTTGCTCTGGGATATTATGTTTAGACTTGCCTAAAAGAGCTGACTCCATTAAGGCTAAGTTTTGTTGTTTTGGGATAAAGGCTTGTCCTAGGCCTAATGGTCTCAGTGGAACAGATCATATTTCATCACTGAAATTAAAACATTTCCAGGGGGAAAAAAAGGTTGGCTACAGACTTTATGCATATTTTGGTATCATCCAATATTAATTATTTCAATACCTTACACATACAGTAGTTCTACCTTTGCTTTAGCAGTCTTTAGACTGCTAAAAAATGACTACTCAGAATAAGACTGAGAACAAGGCTGTTATGTGTCTGAGAATAAAACACTGAATAATGGAGTTGAAAGGGGACATTTAAGGTCATCTGCTCCAGCCTAAGTGCAAGAATTCAAATTAAAGCATCCCCCACAGATGGCTGCCTAGCCTCACTTAAACACATCACATGAAGGGGAATCTATTACTTTTCCAGGTAATGGTTCCATGGTTGGTTCTTACTGTTACACTTTTTCCCCCTAACATTCAGTCAGAAGCTAATTATTCCATGTCCTGCTTTGTGGAATGAGAGAGAACAGGTTCTCTATAAGACTTCTTTCAGTATTTGAAGAACACTATCATATCCACCTTCAGTCATCTTTTTCAAGGGTAAATATCTCTAACTCTCTTCATAGGACTTAGTTCCTAACCCCCAATTCATCTTCATTTCCTCTCTCTGAACTTTTGCAAATTGTCTGGATCCTTCCTGAAGTATAGTACCCAGAATTGGACACAGAATACAAGGTGAGGGTCTAACCAAAGCAAAATAAAGTGGAACTTTCTTATGATTTGGACATTCTACTTCTATTGATGCAGCCAAAATTGCATTTGCCTTTTTTACATCATATTGCAGACTCACATTCAGGTTATAATCAACCACTATTCTAATATTTTTTTCACAGGTACTATTCCCAAAAGCAGGTAGTCCCATCTATGCATCTGATTTTTGTTTCCCAAATGAACATTGCATTTGTCTCTGTTAAATTTTGTTGTGTTCTTTTCATCCCATTTCTGTAACCTATCACAACTGTTTTTAATAATATCTTCTAGGGCATTAGATATCTAATTGAATTCTGTGTCATCTGCAGAATTGATAAGCATTTCCTCCACTTCTTCATCCAAATCATTAAGGACAGCTTTGAAGAATATAGACCCAGACTGAACCTTGTGGTTTTTTTATACATCTCTCTAGACTGGTGAGGAACTGTTGGTGAGTCTTCTTTGAATATGATTTTCAAGCCAGCTATGCATCCACTTAATTTCACACCATCCAGCCCATTCATAACCATCTTACTGATCAGAATGTCACGGGCTACTTAGTCAAATGCTTTGTTGAATTAAATAAATGACATCCATAGCACTCACACAATCTATAGGGAATATGAAATAAGAATAAATCTTACAAGAGTAACCTTAACAAATCCATGATTTCTGGCAATTACCACATTGTTTTCAAGGTTTTTACATAGTTACCTCTTTATAAATTACTCTAGATTTTTCCCAGATAACAAGATTAAATTGCCTTGGAACTTAAACACCCTTACTACTTCTCAGTGCATTTCAAGACCTAACTGGAACCCGGATGCATGATGGAATGCTTGTTCCACATGAACCTGCATATTCTACTTCAGGTGTCACTCTCCCCACCTGAGACAAAACCGAAGATGACTAGGATGAGAGATAGTGACGGTGGCTCAGTGATGGAGATTTATTGATGCAGCTCTCAGAAAGGCTCCTCTGGCCCTGCTTTGCAACATTAGATCTACAGAACAGAAGCACACAGCTTGGTTTTCTCTAGATGTTTTGGACTATAATTCTAACAATTCCTTGCTGCTGGCCATGTTGAAGGGAACTGATGGGAATCCTTCCAAAATACCAGTTCTCTACTCTTATGGAAGAATTGTAAGCAATATGGCTGGCTGAGAAAGTGCTCAGATGTATTGGAACTCCAGAATCTAGAGGTTTCTGGGAAGTGGAAATAAACTAGTTTAAGTTTATAATCCAAAGGCTAGGATTCCCAACCTCACCTCCATGAGCAACTTGAGGGCACAGCTGTCACGTATGCGGCCTTCTTTACGTGCCTGTGCAGCTAAGTTGGTAAACCAAATGCAGGGGACCCAGTATCGATTGTAGGAGGAGTTGAGGTGTTCAAATTTCTTGCGTTCCTCACGAGTCATGAATCCTTGAAGCAGAGGCAAAGAAGCAGGTGTAATACATAATGTCACTCATGTGATTGGTGGAATTCTTTAGGAGACACATTGTCACGTTCTCATGCAGACTTTCATAGCCCAAGATATTCAGGATGTGTTGGTCTACAATATTATTATCTCCATTGGCTATGTTGACTATGGTTAATGGCTGTTGTAGCCCAATATATCTGGATTGTACCAGGCTGGGGAAAGCTGAAAACTGCATTAGAGCGGCATTTACAAGCAACGCCTTCCAAATTAAAGGATGTCCTAAACAGTTCTTACTCTTACTTTCTGCATTTTTCAGAATGTTCCCATCTAATCACTTCAGGTCAACAAGAAGATGGGCCTCTGTTGCTACACTCACCTGCCTCCACCACATGGTCCATGGTGGGGAAGCGCTTGAACACAGCAATGCTGACTGAGCGCAAGATCAAGACTGCCGACAGGCTGCAGTAGCGCATGAGTGTCCGTCGATAAAGCCGCCCCTTCTCATCAGCACCATGCACATTTCCAGAGATGGCACACATCAGGCGATCTGGCATTGGCATGCAGGTGTATTGGCTCCACCAGCGGTTTACTACCAGTGTTACATAGAAGCCTGAGTGAATCCAGGAGATGGGGAGAGTTATTCATTTATTAAAATTATATTCTGCCTGTCTTCCCAAATTATATTAGAATATGACTTTCACAATCCAAATCTCATTCTGAACTAAGTTTATATTACTGTAAAACCCAAAACTTGTTCTAAAAGCCAAAACCCAGCCCTGCAAACATGTGTAACAACAAAGAGTGGTAATTATAACAAAATGTGTGGAGTGTTTTTATTCAATTTTCTAGCCACTAGCATTCCACACTGATTATTCCTCCTTCCAACAGTCAGGACAGCATTTCATGCCCACTAAGCATGCTCAGCTCTTACTGGACTATTTTAGATCCCGTTTCTTTCAAGGTTTTTATTTTTAATTCCTTCCCTCTGCAAGCCCATTGATTACTCATTAGGAATCCAAGAATTCTTATGGAATTCTTATAATGCCATAAGAATCAACATGCTGCAATAAAAATTCATTGCTAATGTGTATGAGCATTTCCCTGAATAGATGCCATGTGTTTTCCTCTGAATACTGAGCAAAGGCCAATATATTGGAATTAAGGAAAGTAGACTTCAGGGTTATACTTTTGCTTTCAGGGAGAATCAACACATTACTGCTTAGTAATCAGTATCCTTTACTGTGGCATTCCCTTGGCAGACTGGGGAAATGAAGGAGGGAGGATTCATACTCAGGTCTAAAACAAGAGAATTGGGGAGATTTCATACTTAAAAGATCACTGCATTTTGCCCATTATCCTTGAAGCAGATGAGAAGTAGGCAAGGCATTAGGCCAGACTTTTGGAATGAAGGGCCTGCTCCACCAACCAGGGGTTGGGATGGGAAGAGCAAGAGGGGGAGGGTGGGAAATCAAGCATCTCACCCAGAACAAAGGAGATAGGGATGAGATTGGCATAGTCGTTGCAATAAATGACCACCTTTTCAAAGACTCGTTTCTGATCTTCTTTTAAGATATACCTGGAAATAAAAAGAAGAGCAAGATTAAGTAAGATTATTATTTGGCAGTGACTAGCTTCCATGGGCTTAGATAGAAAATTGGGATAATTGAAGGAACCATGCATCCAGCATAACATATCAAGACAGGCCGTTTTCACACAAGATTCTTCATTATCTACATTTGGGTTATTCAACTTTCAACCTCAACACAGCTCAACCAGGAACAGAAAGACAGGCATATTTACATAGTGCCCCAAACAGTGGAAAGCGGAAACTCTTTTGCTTAAATAGTCTGTAACTGACACAGGTAATTTCATGATGCCCAGAAGCAAATTAATGACAGTGTTGTTGAGACTGGGCAACACCTTATTTATATTTAGCCTCATCACTTGTGTTAACTTACAACAGGGCGTGTAGTTGATCCAAGGTTATATAGCAAAGTTATATAAAATTATTTTAACAAAATACATCCTCATGCAAAAATACACTTTCTGGAATGAACAAGGCTTCTCACTTAAGGATGTCACTTGGGATTTAGTACTTCATCATGGTATGGTAACTCTTCAAATTAGAAAAGGAATTTCATACAGCCTGAACATGCAGGTGGAAGAGAGATCACAACCCCAAGTTCTTAGGCTGTTCTGAGCAAACAAGGGGAAACGGATGCCTACTTATATCCTGATTTACCGATACATAAGGCTTAGTCCCAAGTAGGAAACCGAGAAGACCAGGAACTCCTTGTACAGCAATTTATAGATGCTTCCACGCCATAGGCTCAGCAGCTTGTAGAAGCCACCAAAGCGGGCACTGGCTACCCGAGCTGTATACGTAACAGTCATGCTAGGCACAAAGAGACTCAGTGACTCTGCAATTTAAGGAGACACAGAATTAGGTCTTAGTAAATACAAACTTCCCATGCACATCACCTTCTCTGCTTCTCACAACAGGACTTACAGCAAGGAAAACATTAGGTCCTTTCAAAGCTTTTCATTCCTTTTGGACAGAACAGCAGTCTCATCTTTGAGAGACTAAGCTGCCTTCCCCAACCTGACGCCCTCCAGATTTGCTCCTTTTGCCTCAGCACTTTCCCACAGGAAGAAGTCCTGTGGGAATTCCTTGCAAGTCCCTGCTGAACGAATCTATCCTCTGAGGATACTCTGTTGAGATCACTCCTTTCACTTTCCAATTGGCCTGTTTGTAAAAGAGCTCTTCTTGCCTGGTAGTTGCCTCAACCCCTGTCAAAAGTGCCTTTCCTTTGGAAAAAGTGATAGTTATGAACAGGGAGTGGCATCAGTGAAGGCTTTGGCGTGGGAAGAGCTATTATAACATTCAGAATGCTGACTGTCACGGAAGGAAGAGTGCTTGTTACAATGGGGAGATCTTTAAAAAAAATTCCCTTCTTCAGAACTGCTGACTTTAACTGGGTGGGAGATTCAGGCCCTCAAACCATTTTTGCATGGTAACTCAGCTATCAGCTAGGAAGAACAGGGCATTCTCCTTTCTCCTTTTGTGTTCTCTACAATGGCACAGAGAAATAGGTTTCCTCTTTGCAATGAAGGGTCTTTCTAGGACAGTACCTAGCACCCCAAATTAAAAGACAGAGTAACAATTCTATATTTTTCTCCTTTATTAATAATAAATGTTAAAAGTGGTGGGAAAACAGGATTACAAGTGGAAGATGACATAATCTGAACACTCAAATAATAATGTAAAGTTGTACCAGCATTTGCAGAAGATTGTACAATAAGCAGGTACATAGAACACCCTAGGCTAAGATGTGGTTGGCTACTTTATGGTTCAGGGTGTTGTGTAAAAGATTAATTCAATAAACTGCAGTTTGGATTAGCACACTGTGTGAACACATCCTAGAAAACTTCCTTTGGAAGCACAATTATTTGTTACAACAGATAGAAAAAAGCAAGAAAAGTTTATGGCATCTTAAAGACAAACATTTATTGCCACATTTTGCAACGTATAAAGTTGGTGTTAATAAGATTACATATACAGGTAGTTTTCACTTAACAACTACAATTGGGACCGGCAACACCATTGCTATACATATATATACATGGACATCATCAGGGAAGAGAAAAAGTTTTAAATAAAATTGAAGGTAGAATTGTGAGAGAAAGAAAGCAACATTTCCTATGCCAAATCCAATTAAATTACTCACTTGCTAACATCCATTCATATTTAGTATGAGTTACAATAATGTAAATAAATACCTGAAGACAGAAAGTGACACCTTTTGACCTATTAAAGATTCTAGGGAGAACAGCAGGCATATCAGGCCTGCTCTACCAGTTTAATGCTGGAATGACCATGCTTTGAATCTGAACATCCTTCACTGAGAGTTTGGAAGATTTCAACATTAGACATTACTGTCAAAGGGAAGCACAGATTACCCAGTCAAAAAGTATTAATCATCTTCTATGCATCAAACCTGGTTCAGTCATAATTTTTTTTAAGTTCAGTATAATTATACTAAGCTTGATGGTTTTCATGCCTTAGTGCAACAGCCTGTAGCTAAGCCTTGTTAGGTGCAACTGTAAACAATCTTATATTGCTGTGTAACATGCCTCCCTCTCATTCATATTCTTTGTTGTTTTCTCTGTATCAAATGCTGCATGATGTGCTTCCCGAGGCATGCTTGCTGCTGGTGCTATACAAATCATAAACTCGATTCTGGAAAAATAGCTCTGAGCATCTAGGTGTGCTCATTTTTAATATGACATTGCTTTATTTATGGTAACTTGGAATCTGATGGGGGATTTGCTTCTATACTGTACATGTTGTCAGAATCAGTTGTTTTATTTATTTCATTTTAAAATAATCCTTCCTTTGCCTAGGATGATTGATCGCCTCTTCACCCCTTTTTCTTCCTAACCATCCTATGAAGTAGGGCAAGTTAGGCTGAGGAACATTTGACTGGCCCCAGGACCTTCACTGCTTGAGTCTAGACCCACATCTCTGCATGCTAAGTTTGGCCCTCCCACCGCTGAACGGCACCACCTCTCTGCAGCTGTTGTTAGCTGGAGCATCTTCTACTGGCATTCTTTTTGTACGCAAGAGAAAGGAGGGCTGCCTTCCCAGCAGAAAGTATTTGGATGATGGACAAATGTGATAGTAAGTACAGCTTTCAAATACAGAAATTTTAACAAGTGTTATAATGGAATCCAAATCAAATAAAGGTCCCCATGATGGAACACAACATGCAGCATTCCTACGCTCAACATAACTATTCAAAAGAGTAAAAGCAGTCCTTTATATGTTATAGGCTATATACAATAGCAGGGAGAGAAATAAAGCAAAACCTGCGGGGCTTCCCATGAGACTCCTTTGTTGGACTGGGATGACCTTGCCAACGTTTCAGCCTTTTGTCTGAAGCAGTTTGGCTTACAGGTGGTGGATCAAGGTGCTAGACACCTATGAGGTGACTTTGTATAAGTCGCTCTCTCACAGCCCAACCAAACCCCAAGACTGTGAGGGAAAAAGAGGAGACAGGAGTGCAGTGTATGGCACTTTGAGCTCCTCAAGGAAACGCAGGATTCAAATCTAACAAAAGATCTTCTGTACATAGTACAGCAACTCAGCTGGATTATGGACATTTTATTGGTAGGAGTTCTGCATTTGGCAAAATATATAGCATTTAACAGAAGACCTTCTCATGCAAAACCTTGGGGCTGTACAGTATCTAGAATGTGGCTGTTTGACTTCATCCAAATTGAAACAGTCCAGGAGATTTCAAATAGTACAGCTGTAGCCCTTTCCCTTTTTATCATGAGTTAATTAGTTGCTCCTTCAAGCCAATAGAGCAATCCCTTGAATTCTAAAATAGACCTCTAAAATATACTTTGAAGGGGGTCTGATTTAATCTTTCACATGCACACCCTTACCTTGTCCTGATCTAGTAATCCTTCTCTCATCTGGTACATTCTTTTGAGAGATTTCCCCTCCCCACTTGCTTTTCCAAGAAGAATTGAGAAATCAGATTCCTTCCCCTGGGGGGACAGCAATCAAACCTTCTTGGATTAACAGTGGAAGGTAATGCCTTTGAAGGAGGGCAACTTCCCAGGCTATCTAAATGAGCTCTTTCATTAATGAGTAAATGCTGAGCCAATTTTTTTTCCTTAACCAAAGGCTGGCTGTTGTACAACTGACCACTCACTGAGATTCAACCCATAAACAAATACCAAAAGACTCGAGTGTCCATCCTTCCTCCCTTCCAAGAGCAGCTGGGGGATGGAAGAGAGGAGAATCTGAATGAAAGAAGACTGATCTTCAAACAAAAACATTGCCCTTAGGTGAGATGAATTTAACATCTTGGAAATGGAGATAATGTGATAGCATCTTGGCTAGCAAGTTTGATCTGCATACAGTTATGCTGGAGCCCATACTTGCAGAAAATTCATTCTCAGAATCAGAAATTTTAGACCCTAATGCCTGGAATGAAACTGATCATCTTAGGCACAGGTAAGTGCTCTGCATGCTGCATCAAATGATGGGAGAACTCAGCATATGAAAATATATTTCATTCATTTAAGAGATTTATATGGTTTAAGTCCTTCATGAAAGCACAAAGATTCTTGTGACCATAGGATATAGCATAAACTTTACTGAATCTGCTATCAGTGTAGTTCTGCCTCTGAAAATGGCCCCAAGAGAGACATTCAGCATAGTTTCTACCAATTTGGGGAAACAATTCAGGCAACCAGTACTGTCATTAGTCTGCCATTGCAAACCCAGCACCAGACTCTGAAGGTGACATTCAAAGACTGCAAAAATAATTTAACTTTAGAATGAACCTATTAAGTATATTGTCATGCTGGATATGTATAAATTAGACTGTAAGAATAATCTGATGATTTCATTCATCCTTATCCTTAATTAATGGGAATTAAAATAATTAAGATAATATGTTGCTTAAAGCAGTTAGGCATACCCTATCTTTAGAATGGATATCAATATTGAATTAATACATTCCCTACAATATCCAAGCTTTCAGGGTCTCATACTGGGCTAGAACAGTGTTTCCCAACTTGGCAACTTGAAGACGGGTAGACTTTAACTCCCAGAATCCCCATGCTGGCTAGGGGATTCTGGGAGTTGAAGTCTAC